TATATATATATATATAACAAGCAACATGAACACTAAAGTTAAAGAAATATAAAATCATCAAAATTCAATATAAAAAATCATTTTTCTAAGTTTTAATTAAAAATAAATTAATTTAAGCACGAATATTTAAAATATTTATGAAAGTACTAAAATTAATTATCAGAATTTCTAAGAACTTTCTTCTTTTTTTTAAATTAGTTTAAAAATAAATTTAAATTATAAAATGCAAACTAGAGAAATCTTCTCTCTAGTAATTTTCATCATTTGAAATATATGATTGAATTTTAAATATATTTTGTATCATAAAATACTTTTAAAATGTAATTGACTAGAAACATTTGTGAAGAATCTATCTTACTTCTTAAGATCCTTTGATGATTTTCATGTTTTTTTAATTAATTTTTATTTTACTTTTTTGTTGCAAAATAATATAAAAATTATAATTAAAATTACAAGAATAAAAAATCAGTATGAATTTTTATGAAAGAGTTCCCTAATCAAGTTTAGTACATAAAATATTTTCAAAATTTTTAATAGTGTTTTGAATATCTAATTGTGATATAATTAAATAATAAAGTTAAATAATTAAAAATTATTAAATTTGCATGGATAATTTTTAAGGTCTTCTAGGACAATTAGGGCTAATTCCATGGAGATTCACTATAGGAAGTTGGCATATTATCAACGATCAAATACTAATGGTAATAATATTAAAACCGTTGATAACTTAATTATAATATAGTTACCTACAGATTTACTAATGGTATTTTAACACTGGTGATTATCCAATGAACTAGAAGGGGAGTAAGTCTTTTGTGCGAGCATCACGTCTTTGTAGCCGTACCTCTTCTTTTTCCACTCTAGTGATTTCCTCGCTACTTTGGCAGGTATAAATCCTACATCTACTCTTCCTACCTATTTAGGGTCATAGGATTTAGAGTTTTCTTCTCTTAACCTTATGGGAACCGAGGTCCCCTTGGATGATGTAATTCATAGATTGCCGACAAGGGATCTCTGGTTGTGTTGGGTTAACTATCTTCACTACTAGGTAAACTTGGGGTCCTAATTGCTTGAGATGACAGATTAATGGTATCCTAACCCTGCTATCTCTACCAGATTAGGATCACTCTACTTCTTTTTTGCTATCTACTTTGATTCATGTCACTCCTTTAGACATTTGATTGATGTCGTCTTGTTAGCCACAATAGCAGATAGATCACTACACATTATGGATATGTTAATTCACCCTCTACCCTTTTGTCCCGGTTAGGCCTTTAAAGCATAGTGTGGATCATATGAGTCAGACAGGTTATTTCATTGACCTCAATTACCGATGAGTCACTACTCATTTCGAGTTTGAGAGACTCACTCTATGTTTTGTGGCTTAGTGAGAGGTTTGAAAGCATCGAGATGCTCCTGTGAGATAATCATTCTTCATGACACCTCTTAGTAGTTTTCACTTGAATATAAGAAAGATTTTGTTAATCGAGAGTACTCTTGGGCATCCTCAAAGATGTAATTAACCAAGTGGAAACATTTCTTTTGGAGTTGCTCTTGAACCCAGAACAAGCAAACACACTTGTTTCTTTAGTTGTGGATTTCTTTCTTAGGGTCTTCTTTGTGGATATGTTCCAAAGTATTTTCAATCCGACCTCATTTTGGGTGTATGCTTTTGAGCTTTCACATGAAGTTTACTTTATAAAAGTTCTCCATATTTTTTCTCTTGTTTGTCTTCCCTCATTGTATATCCTTATTTTTTGATATGTCTCTTCTCTAGATCATCCATATGATCAATATAAAGACTTACTTGTAAAATGGTGATATACGATGATAGACAAGTTGACGACTCCTAAAAAAAGAAAAAAAAAAGAACAAAAATAGTACTACTGTGAAGTCAGAGCGCTTTCACAATGGATTTACTCTCAGCTGGGTCAGTCTGATTGAAGAAGCACGGGGGTTTCTCCTTGTAATATGCAATATGATGCATTTAGCTAATCAGTACTAATGTAGAGGCCCTATTAGTATGACTTGGGTGAGAGTCATGCAACACAACCCGTTTAAAATAAGGCCCGGAGGCCATGCATGAAAGTAAATACAAATTTTAAAAATCTTGAAGTACTTTAATCCCAAATTTTGGTTAATCTAAATCTCTTATTAGGATTTAATAGAAAAATTAGATTATTAGATCCTTAAAGAGCCTAAATTAAATTTGCAAGATTCCCAGACAATTCACAAGTAAATAACGGCAAAGCCAAGTCAATTTCATTGCAAAAGGAAAACACACACCAAATAAAAATTCCTATAAGTCTTCTGCCCTTCAATTATAAGCATCCCTCATTGGAAGGGCAAATACCCACAGCTCTCTTCCCCATTTGTAGGCTCAAATTCATTCTCCAAACATGAAATAAGCCCTATTCAGTATGGATTAATTTCATGTCCTTGGCAGGTGTGCTCCATTGAATCTCTACCAATTGTACTTATTTATTTATTTTTTAAGCTTCTTACTATTTTGATCTAATTATTTTATTTTTCAAATACACATTTTTAAATTTTAAAAACATTTGCCAAGCGAATGATCTTCCAAATTAGTTTAATTTTACAAAAATAACTTTCATTTAAATTAATTGTAATTGATTTTAGGAGGTGGAAGACTTAATCCAAACTACTGATTGAATAAGTTCAAACCATATATAATAGAATAAATTACATTAAAAATTCGTAGAAATTGTAATTTCTATTAAAATTTAAACTTTAAAAATAAATGCTCGTCTCGCTTTCACTCCATGATCATATAACAGCTACAATTTGCAATTAATATTGTTTAATTTATTATTATTGAATTATGAATGCATTCCATTTAATTTATTGAAATTATTAATAAAGCTGGTCAAGTTATTTAAAAAAAAATGAAGAACAATTCATTGAACTTAATAGTAATCTATTTTATTTTTCCTAAAATTAATTTAAACTAACATCTTAAATTCATCAAAATACTATTGCGTAGGTAATCCAATCTTTAAGATTCCCCTAAATATACAAAATAGGGAGTTACTTTTAAATTTATCAAAATAAATTAAAAAAAAAAGATTAATTTGACCATAGCAAAATATTAACCTCTCTCTCTCTCTCTCTCTCTCTCTCTCTCTCTCTCTCTCTATATATATATATATATATGGAGGCACACACATTAGGTATGTATGTATATATGTTTGTATGCATGTTTATGTCCGCCAACACACACATGTGTACATATATAAATCTATATGTATATATATGTATAGATATAAAATACCCCTACTATTTTGTAACGGTAACATGAATCACTTCTGAACTTGAATGAACCTCGAATCAAAACATAAGAAGCAATCATAAATCAGAATACTCTTAAAGAGCACAATTTATTGAACCATCTAATTAATATCAACCGATCTATCGTTGTTAATTGTGGGCTACAATGGAGGGAGCTGGCGCAGGAGCACCAATCGTGGAATCACCAAGGAACAAAAACTTGTAGATCTCAAACCTCACCTCGCATCCTCCTCCAATAACACGACAACCAGTCTGAGTCCCGCAGTAAAATGAGACATATCTGAATGCATAATCCAAGCAATCAGAGCATGCACGCTCTCCAAGATCCCGCGTGCACTGCGCCATTCCATACACTGTTAAGCTTTCATCCACATAACTCTCCCCATAGCCGAACTTCTCACTCCCACTCGCCGTTGCCTCCGAAACCTCCTCCAGCAGCTCACCCGCTGCTCGTTGAACATCAGTGAGATTTGCAGAGCGTTCAAATGAATACGACAAATAGGCTACGGCTTTGTCGAGCTTTCCTATGAAGTTCTCCGTGTCGTAGTGAAGGTAACAGTGCTCGTACCATCCGCGGGCTTGTGCTGCATTAGGGCATGCAGAACGAATCTGCTGTGCTGCGCTGGTGATGCACTCGGAGCAGGTTTGGCGGCTCACGTCTCCTTGGCATCGCGTGACGCCGTAGATTGCAGGTTTGTAGCTGTCGGAGGCATAGGAGGAGATTGCGTAGCCATTAAGAGAGCTCGTTGCCACCATGTCGAGAAGGATGTTGTTGATATTGGTCTGCAACATGTTATATTTTTCAGTAAAATTTTTTTCGCATTGTTGATAGAGCACTAATTCTGTGCTGAGGGTGGCGATGGGGAAGAAGACAAGGAAGAGAAAGAGGAGCTGCATTGCAGTCATTAGTTGAGCAAGATAGACCAGTTTGAATATTGTCTATCAATACTGGCATCTTCGGTAGCTCTTACTATATGTGTATATATAAGGGAAGAGAACAGTTAGGCCTAATTAACTCTATGTACGTACAATTGGAGCTAATTAAGAAGGCAACAAAGGAGATAGAGTTTGTGATACTCCGACTTTTGCCGAATATAATTGAAGGGAAGCCAAAAGAAAAATGACAACTGATGTTGTATCGAGTCAAAAATGTAATTTTTAAAAACTAAAACTTTGAAGTGGTTTGCCGGCGATGCTTTATAAAACTGTTCATGACATGTCAAATAGAAAAAATATATGTATACTTTTTGTTTAGCTTTCAAATTTAATCGATTTATTTCAATTTGCGATTTTAAATAATGGTTTGGATTATTTCGTTGTCATATTTGGACAGTTGGGATGGGTTTTTAAATAAATCGAAATAAACAAGCCGACTTACGAGCCAAAGATTTGTATCAAATTTCTTTCTAGCTGGCACAAGTTCTACTAAAAAGCGCAACATTAATAGCCACGCTGTTAGTACTATCAAAGATCGATATTTAGTTGAAAATTGATTTGAAGTTTTGGTTCTAATCTTGTCTTTCACTATAGCTACATCAACTCTTTCACGAGTTTATTGCTTTCACATTTTCTTTTCAACTGTAAAGCCACTAATCCACCTAAATATTCTTATCTCAACAACTCTTACTAGATTACTTGCACACCTCTAGACATATTTCAAGAAGGAAATACTTCACATGATGTAAGAGCGTTCACTTCATCATCCAATGGAAAAACTAATTTTCATTGGAAATTTCCATTTTGGCAATAGAAATTAGATTTCAAAGTGAATTTTCATTTCTGCAATGGAAATTAGCTTTTTATTGGAGGAAACAGTTAACACACTTACATCATATGAAATATTTACTTCTCGGAATATATTTAGAGGTGCAAAAATTAATATAGTAAAAAGTTGTGAAGATGTGAATGCTTAGATTTATGATTGGTTTTATAGTTGGAAACAAAATACGAAACAAATATATTCATGAAATGGTTGATATAGCTACAGTAACAGACAATATTAGAGTGAGACTTCTCAATTGATTTAGCTTATAGATATAACTTGCCAAACACCAAAAAAACTAGCTATTAATTTGAATTATCTATTAATTCCTAATTGATTATGTCCTGTTGTTTTTTAAATCAATATTAGATTAATTAACATTCTTCGACATACCTAACATCAGTAGGATGTTAAATGATCTGATTTCGAGCCGAGCATAAGTCAACTTGAAAGAAATTCGATCCAAAATTTTGGCTTATAGCTCAACACATTTATTTTGATCGTAACTTTATGTATGAGTAAAAATTCAAATTAATTTTTGAGCTATTGTTGTTGTTCGAGCTAAAGTCACAGGCCTACCATACGCACTACATGTATAATAAACTGTAAAAGTCATAAGTTCCCAACATGTATAGCAAAAACTTTAAAACTGCTAAGCTCAAAATTCTTTTATCTTTAAACATATCATTGATAAACAAACGTGCGAAAACAGAACGTGGATTGATCCAATCCGTTGTGGATCAATTCAATTTTCGAGCTAGCTTGAATTGTCAACGAGCCGGCTCAAATGTAATTTTTTGCTTGTGAGCCAAAGCGGTCCGACTCGAACCTGCATTGACTTGCCTGACTAGTTCACTAGTAAAAAAATGCAATTTTTTTGTGAAAAGCAAGGATTTGAACCTCTGTCACTCCGCTCAAGCAAAAAAAACTGCAATGCAGCTCCTCTTTCTCTTCCTTGTCTTCTTCCCCATCGCCACCCTCAGCACAGAATTAGTGCTCTATCAACAATGCGAAAAAAATTTTACTGAAAAATATAACATGTTGCAGACCAATATCAACAACATCCTTCTCGACATGGTGGCAACGAGCTCTCTTAATGGCTACGCAATCTCCTCCTATGCCTCCGACAGCTACAAACCTGCAATCTACGGCGTCACGCGATGCCAAGGAGACGTGAGCCGCCAAACCTGCTCCGAGTGCATCACCAGCGCAGCACAGCAGATTCGTTCTGCATGCCCTAATGCAGCACAAGCCCGCGGATGGTACGAGCACTGTTACCTTCACTACGACACGGAGAACTTCATAGGAAAGCTCGACAAAGCCGTAGCCTATTTGTCGTATTCATTTGAACGCTCTGCAAATCTCACTGATGTTCAACGAGCAGCGGGTGAGCTGCTGGAGGAGGTTTCGGAGGCAACGGCGAGTGGGAGTGAGAAGTTCGGCTATGGGGAGAGTTATGTGGATGAAAGCTTAACAGTGTATGGAATGGCGCAGTGCACGCGGGATCTTGGAGAGCGTGCATGCTCTGATTGCTTGGATTATGCATTCAGATATGTCTCATTTTACTGCGGGACTCAGACTGGTTGTCGTGTTATTGGAGGAGGATGCGAGGTGAGGTTTGAGATCTACAAGTTTTTGTTCCTTGGTGATTCCACGATTGGTGCTCCTGCGCCAGCTCCCTCCATTGTAGCCCACAATTAACAACGATAGATCGGTTGATATTAATTAGATGGTTCAATAAATTGTGCTCTTTAAGAGTATTCTGATTTATGATTGCTTCTTATGTTTTGATTCGAGGTTCATTCAAGTTCAGAAGTGATTCATGTTACCGTTACAAAATAGTAGGGGTATTTTATATCTATACATATATATATATATATACATATATATATACATATAGATGTATATATGTACACCTGTGTGTGTTGGCGGTCATAAACATACATACTAACTACATACATACATACCTAATGAGTGTGTCTCCATATATATATATATATAGAGAGAGAGAGAGAGAGAGAGAGAGAGAGAGGATTAAGCCTTCCACCTCGTAAAATCAATTACAATTAAATAACTGAAAGCTATTTTTGTAAAATTAAATTAATTTGGAAGATCATTCGCTTGGCTAATTGTTTTAAAATTGAAAAATGTGTTTTGAAAATTTGTTCTTGGAAAATAACAAGATGTTGTTAAAGGCTATAAACACGATAACAATTTATCAATATGACCATTTGATTCATAATATTTGCATACATAAAATATTAAGCCCCCCGAAAATAGTCTAAATATCATTCATAGAAATTGCTCAAAATATGAAACACCAACATCTAATGATCATCTTGACTCATAGCTCATAATTGGTACAAATGCCACAAACTGGTAAAGTTTCTCTTCTGCATTAAAATACATGTGATCATTCACATGTCATTGAAAAATAAAATAATTAGATCAAAATTGTAAGAGGCCTAAAAAAAATAAAATTTTAATTGAAGGGCAGAAGACTTATAAGATTTGTTTAATAAATAGTTTTTTTTTGCCAAAATTAAATTTGTCAATTATTTTTATTAACTTTAGTTTTTATTTAATTTTAAAACATTATAACAACTTAAAGCAATGAAGAAAAAGATTATCATTTTCATCTCTTTGCACCTAAAATGTTGTGCCTTTTACACACTCAATTAAGTTTTGAATATTTAAAGAATTTAGGGAAAAATTTTAATTTGAGTATTGCACCAAATATAGTATGGATTAAATAAATTTTTATGGAATCTATTTAACATTGAGCCCAAAAATGTGGTTTAGATTGATATTTATGAGAAATCATGATTCAAATTTTTTTTTCAAAAATTTAATTTTTTATTTTTTATAATTTAATTGGTTTTCAAATAATATGATCTTTGACATCTAAAATAGTGGTTAATGAACCTGTGATAAGAAAATCTACTTATCAAGCATGACCATACAAGGAAATACTTATAAAACTTTAGAATTAAATTTATAAATATCTAAGCTTTTTTTAATCACATTTATAGTTGAATTGAAGTTCTAGACAAGAGATATGAGATGATATAAAGCAAATGTCAACCAATTTGAGTTCAAATGAGCTCAAATCAAGCACTTGAAGTATGATTAAGAATTTTGAAACATTAATTCAAGGATTAAAAAAACTTCCATGCCTGTAGTTAAAATGAATGTCTCTATAAGTGAAAACTAAAATACCAGTAAATAAGTAATTTTGAGAACATTAAGGAACTTAAGGGCTAATTAAAAAAATTATTATTGAGAAAATTACCATACAGGCTATTGATCAATGGAGCATTTTGTAAATTTTGACTAAAGAAAATCTTGTGATTTGACCAACTAAATGATCATCTATATAAGTAAACATACAAATATTTGCTCTTCTTCCAAATGAGAGAAATACATTGTTTGAAACTCAAGCTAGAATTTTTTTCAAAAGTGATAAGAAAAAATGTTGTAAATGAAGTGAAGACAGCTATAAAAATCAAACAATGTTAATCAGTTGTTAGCAATGTGGTGATGACTGAACAATAACAATTAAGCATATGTGATAGTTGGAGGAGATTTTTAACATCGATATTTCGTACGGTTCGTCGTATCTCAAATATATCTCTAATTTGTAATTCAAGTTCAATCCTCCTTTAGGTAAGAGTTAATATGGACTATTTATAATTTTATTGAGTCGTTTTAAAGTATTATTTTCCAAAGTTCTTAAATACTTCATCATATGATTTGTATGTTGTGTTAATCTAGTTGTCTCTAGAAATTGTTTATGTATTTTTGCACATTTTTCATGTGGATTAGGAAGTTTTAAAAACCGTTTTGTGGTTAGGTGGTTAGGAAAACGTTAAGTGATTAGTTAGTTTTATTTTCAGAAAAATGTGATGTATTTGCTTATAAATTAAACCAGAAAATGTAGAGGGTGTGATTATATAAAAAAATTCCTCCATTTTTGTTGGCGTTTAAAGTTTGGTTTTGAAAACCAACATTTGGTATCAGAGCGAAGGTGTCAAAGAAATGGCCGGAAATGATGGAGATCCATCTAAGTCACTTGTTGTCATCAAACCGACGGCAAGAGGAGCCTCAATCCCGATCCAATTTCCAACTTTAAGTGAAACGAACTACAACATATGGGCTATCAAGATGAAGATAACCTTGCATTCACTAGGAGTATGGTCAGTGATTGAAGGTGAAGAAAAAGACGATGA